ATATGAACTTAACAAATATAATATATATATAACAGTTAAGTTAACTGTTTATATGTATAAATATATTTCTTTCTATATATTTGTTATATGATACAAATATGCATTAGCTTAAATATAAAAACTTTCGGAGCAACCCTCTGCTTGACTTGCCAGCGTCCCTGTCTGGATATTCGCATCATATGCAAAAAAAAAACAAAAGAAATAAAGCAAAGCAAAGATATAATGCAAATTTCAGTATTTCTCTGTCAGCTTGGCAGCACACCATCTACAGACAGTCTGCTCTGGTCTGGTCTGCTCTGGTCTGCTCTGGTCTGGTCTGCTTAAGTTATCAGCTAGACTGACAAATTAGTTGGCAAGTAAGTCCCGTTGAGCCAGCAGACGATGTGATTGCAGCTGAAGCACAGATTCAGCGCTGTTAACCTAATTTAAGCAGGTGAATTACTCGCGCTCTCAATCCGTTAGCAGCTTCATTAATGAGACCGTTAAAAACTAACCAGCTCACGGTGCTCCCCAAGCACAAGTTGTCTGAGTGCCCAACATTGTTGAGCAGGCATCAGCTCGGAATCAAAATGCACACCACCCACACATTTGCAATCCAGATGCATGCAAATCAGCAGCAGTGCACAGTGGTTCGAAACTCGTTATAATTTAACATAAGTTAGTATAACATAACATAAGATAACAGTATTATGTTATGTTAACATAACATAATATAACATAGCATAACATAACGTAACGTAACGTAATGTAACATAATATAACATTATTATGTTATGTTAGCATTACATAACGTAACATAACATAACATTATTATGTTGTGTTAACTTAACAGAACGTAACAAAACATAACTGTATTATGTTACGTTTACATAACATTACGTAACATAACATAACTTTATTATGTTATATTAGCATAACAAACCTGTAGCATAACATAATTTTATTATGTTATGATAACATAAATTAACGTAATATAACATAACGCAACATAACATAACATAACATAACATAACATAACATAACATAACATAACATAACATAACATAACATAACATAACATAACATAGTTTTGTCACAGGGTAAAATTTTGTATTGGTTCGTCAGATAATGAATACAGCATATGTCAGCATTATTTTCACCCCGAATCTCGTAGATTTTTAATTTCTATTTTCACATCGAAAGGAATATCCTTCATACCCTCTGCAAATCATATAAATTTAATTCTTCTCCATGTTTTGTCTTTAGTTCTTCATAATGAAAATGGTCTAGAAAAGGTATTATTTTATATTCTGACAGAGTAAACAAATACTATTGAAAATGCCCATTGTTTGACAATTTTCTCCAGCTGCTCTTTATCAAATTGGTCTCCAGCGTAACGATTAAGTGTGAAGTCGTCAATAAACATGTTTTTAGGGCTGTGCTTATAAACCAATTTAATGTAAGCCATGTTGACAGTTCGAAGGCAAGTCCCACAGCAATGCATCAGACACAAAGCGCAGCGACAACAATGCATCCCATTATCATTAACCCCATCCCATAGTCATTAGCATTTTTTTTTTGTTTTTAGTTCTCACTTAATTTGGCCACAGGGAAATCTCAATGAAAATGTTTCTTGACTTCACCTTTTTTTTTGCAACTGGTCGAAACATGTTTGGGCCTTCTAATTTGAAATTGATCCCCAGGCACATTTGTCACAGCTCGTTTGCGGCAGCCAAATTGGTTAGGAGACTTGAGTCGATGTCATTTCTGTTTGATGCGATACGGAAATTAACGTATTTAATCTTAATGGCACAATGTGCAAAGCAGCTTAAAATGCTTTCAAAAGTCTTAGCCGAGTGTCCACAGAGCGCCGAGTGCTTCGTTCGCTCTACTTTCCTCGGCTCGCATTTTTCATCTTTGATTTTTTTTTTTTTTTTTTTTTTTTTGTTGGTTTTTTATATAATTGATGCAGCCCAAATGAACATTTTAATTGCAAGCTCGACGATAGCGGCAACAGCAAACGTCGGGCCCAAGCCGCTTACGGCTCGGACAAGGGTTGGCCAGCTCAACCCAGGCGACGTTTGAGCTGGCCATTTGGGTAGTTGCAACAGAAGCTGGCACTTGTACGTTAAGAGCAACTGTGGCGACAATTACGAGCCCTGGCAAGACAGGTCTCGCCCTCTGCCTCTGGCTCTTGGCCTGATGTGTTGCAAGTAACTGAATTTGGCCACAAGACAATCAGCCTGGCCAGCAGCCCCTGTCAACAATATTCATGCTTCGGTCCATGGGTACATCTTAATTAGCTGCAACAATGGAATTAATACAGCAGCAACAGACACGTGTCTCCTTAACAATAACAAAGCGTCATCTAAGGCCTTCGATCAGCTTTACATATATTTCTGGGGCAAGTGTAATTAACAAGAAATTTATAATCTATTTCATGAACAACAACAGCGTTTGCAGCTATGCAAATCAGTCGAGATGTTTTCATCTTATCACATTTCAAGAGCTTCCGCCCAAGTTTATTTTTAGCAAATATTTTTCTTACATTACGTTTGCTTGTACTGCTTCGTCGACTGTTGCCTTTTAAAGAAATTGATATGTTGTAAAAATCTAATCAAGTTTATATATTTTCATCACAGCAGTCCACAGTTGCTGTGTCCAAGTGTGGGTAATTGAATAATAAACTTTCGGAAAGTATTTCTAGCCAAGCTGCTTAAGCATATACAAAGGGTTCTTTTTAGAGTCTTTCAACTTAAAAATTGGCATTACTGCTTTATTTGATAACTCATAATTAGCTTTAGTTTAATTCGATTCGACATTCTAGGAGCAGACCTAAGCTAGAGCAACGCTTGCAAATTATTGAAAGTTTTAATCAAAAGAATGGCTCTGTGCAACCAACTTGTCATGTGTCTTGTCCCTTTTATGGCTAACAGAATGATGAAGCCAACTATTGGTTAAATTAATATGTAAATAAATGGAATTATCGCTCTTCAAGCAAGCGAAATCCACAAACTTTTAGTGATCCCCCAATTAATGTATTCATTCACAGCAAATGACTGTTTGGTGCGTGCTATGAGTTAGCGAAGTCATGGGTTTATATGCTTAAAAAAATTATTTGAAACCAAAACTATATTTATGCAATAATGTCATAGCATTTGCTATACAAAACTAATTATTTTGTTATTACTGAAGAGTTCTGTATTTCCTAACTATATTTTTAAATTGTGTAACTTAAAAAAAAGCACACGTTATAAAAATGTTAGCCAAGCAAGAATAATATTATTTTAGCTTACATTTTTTCCAGCTAGTTCTAGTTATCAATAGTGCTTAGCTGCTTACATTAGTGTTAAGATTTGCCAGTTGATCAGAATTATGTAAAAATAATAAAAATAATTTCGTTCAAGGTAAATTGAAGCTTAGACGTGCATACACGTGGCAACATACAGGCAGCAGTTACTCAAATAATGTCACACATATTGAACTGAGCTAGGCAAAATTTAAATAAACTAACTAATGGCATGAATGTAGTTTCAAAATTAAGCTATAAATAATATGCTAGTTGTGACTATATTTATTTTATTGCAGTTCTTTTTACTAGGGTCACCCTCAACTATTGAGTGTGGGTTTTTTGTTTTCAAAATTGTTGATTTTCTCCATACTTTCTGAACAGACCTCGTATAAACATAAGTAAGCCACATTGATCATATATATCCAAATACTGTCCAAGATCTAGTGACCCGTTCATATTATCTTTGACATGCTCATTTCTGTCGGTTGATTTGAGTCAGATTCGATGGAACAACCAGTTCCAACACAATTTAGTTTTATAAAAAATAGAAATATATCTTAAACATACATATATACTTAAGAGTAAGCGTGAGAAGCAATCGAAAAATGAATTTGCACACCTTTGAGGAGCGCTGGCGTCGCAATCATCCCGATGATTGTTACCTGCCGCCATTCATTGGCGGCCCGAACGATGAGATCTTTCTGAGCGGGCTGCGTCTGGAGAAGATTAAGGTGCCGCGGCCAAAGCTTTGTTTGACCAGATCGCTGCCGATGCTGCCCAAAAGTGATGACAGCACTGCAGGAAGTGACCTGGAGCCGTTTCCAAAGTTGCGCAAACGGCGTGCGTCCAGATTCGGATCGAATCGTCTGTTGACAGTCGTTGGCCGCTGGATACGTGTGGGCAATGTGCCAGATCATCTATATCACATCATCTATTACTTCTTTACCCGCATGGGTACGCTGGAAACGATGCGAGCGTACAGCGATAAGACATTCTATGTGCTCTATAAGAACCCGCGCGACACCCTACGTGCCCTCACATTTCATAGACGGCGTCTCATCTTCTTGAACGATCTCGTGTACCTCAATTGCCAGCTGGTGAAAAGGTCGGAGCTAAAGAGAATCTACAGGAAGCGTACAAACTCCATTTACATAGCAGACCCCGATTACAGTCTGGACGATGATAACGATGATGACGATGATGAAGAGGTCGTGGAATTTAATTATGAGTTAAACTGTCGCAATAGCTTGTCTGATATAGACCTGAGCGCCATTCAAATCAATTACAATCCGTTTGTCATGCACCTGGATGAGCGGCGCAAGCTGAATGATGAGACCAATGTCATGAAGGCACTGGAGCAGTGGTATAGCGACAAGTGGGACTCCGGCTACTTTAACGAATATGGACGGTATGTGGAGGTGTGGCACATTCGACTGCCCACCATTAATCAGATGAAACGTTGGCTAAGATCGTTCTACACGTGGATCAAGCTGCACATGGACACGTTCCTCAAATATTTGAGAAGCGAAATTAATTTATTTAATTAGTTGATTTTTATTGTTTGAACCCTTAGGAATTGTAATTGAAACATCAAAAGTACTTAATTATTAAATTGTTATGTAAAAAAAAAAGCTACAAAAAAAAATGAACCAAGCAACATTTACATATTTACACGCAATATTGTTAGATAGACAACTAATCCAAATGTCCGTAGGATCGCAGCGAAGCCTTAGAGCTGTGGACTATCGGCGGCCACGGCGCTGTTCGTATAGACCACCGAATTCAGCTGCTGATCGTGGCGCGACCGTGTGCGCCAGGTATCCATGCCCATAGCCAGGCCCGGGTTGGCGTTCGCCTGGCTCGCCGACAATTGGCCGCCCGCCGTGCCGGCTCGCTTCCACGGCAAGCCCTTGAACGTGTCGACAAAGGCGCGCCGAAAGCTGGCGTTCATGAAGCAATAGGTAATGGGATTGCAGCAGCTGGACGAGTAGGCCAGCAGCTGCAGAAAGCTGATCGTGGTATAGTCAATATACTCGTACAGTGCCTGCCCGATGAACATGCTCAGCGTGTTGATCACATACAGCGGGGTCCAGCAGATGAAAAACTCCAGCACCAGCACGAACAGCATCTTGACCACGCGCTTCTTGCTCTCCAGTGTCTTGGCCTCGTTGGATCTGCGAAAGTTGTTAGAAGTATAGAAGAGGCCAAATAGATACTCAGATCTAGCTGGGACTTAACACCTTTGATGATATTAACTCGGCTTTGTCTTAGATAAACCTGCTGGGCTCTCAGCTCATTCGACTAGCTACTTTGGACTCTACTAATCAATGCTTCATTTAACTTCACTCTAACAATTTTGCTCGAAAAAAAAAAAAATCAAATCAAATCAAAGCCGAATTGGAAATTTGTGTAGCTCGAGTTCATTGAAATGTTTGTAAATTTCTTTAGTTTTGCTAGCTAATTATGCTAAGTGCTTGGCTATGGTAATGGCAGTGCGTTTTGTGCCAATCCGAAATTTGGGTCCATGACTAATATATGATAATACGAAGTGTCGAGGCTGGTCGTTGGCTGGGGGTCAAGGGTTAGATGTGTCTACGCAGCTCACCTGCGCAGCGCCGCATCGTGTACGCGTAGACTTGGCGAGGCTGTTGGGGTCTTAGCCGGTGTTACGGTTGTAAGTGTCGTTGTTGTTGTCGTTGTAAGTGTCGTTGTTGTTGTTGCTACTGCTGCTGCTGCTGTTCTTGTTGCGGCATTGTTGTTGTTGCTGCTTCTGCTCTCTGTGAACATTTGGGCATAAAATGCGCATTTGTTGTCGGGCAATTTGGATTTGGGGGCGTTGGGTAAAATATCTCGCCACTTACCATTGTACTCGGCCGTAACATTCAGGACCAGAACACAGCTGCTGCTGCCAGGCGTAGCGCTTATAGCGGCCGTGGCCATTGTCTGAGTGCTGCCACTGCTGGCCGGCATTCGCACATCCTTGCCCACAACCATGCCCACGTATAGAGTGCGTGTTATGAGGATGTAGGCAACGCAGAGCACCAGCAGGGGCAGCACCAGCAAGATGAGATCCAACATTATGTTATAGAAACGCTCGTAGCCCTGGTCGGGCCAGTGTTCGCGGCACTTGCAGAAACCTGCGGCAAATATCACAGCAGCTACTTAGCATCGACAGCAAGCAATGCGGGCGCGCACTCACCTGGGCGACTTGTGGGTATCAATTGACTAAATACTGCTATCGGTGTCATGCACAGGATGCCACCCAGCCATATGAATCCGATTATCTTGTAGGCATGGCTAATTGTCTGCCAGGACCTCGAGCGCAACGGATGACAAATGGCATAATAACGCTCACAGCTGATGGCCACCAAAGTCCACGAGGAGACGGCCACAGAAGCAGCTGTGAATAGAACGAAACTATTTTTACTAAAGATTCATAATATTTTCATTAATTTCATTTAATTATTCAACACGTCCTCAACTTTTGCTCGTTATGTATTTGCTATACTATTTATAAATAGGAATACTAAGGTGGACGCTGCCTTTGCATCTCAAGAGCCTTTTGTTTGTTTCATTATTCTAAGGATTCCACGAAAGCTTAAGATATAATTTAATTAAATGAAATTAAAAAAAAAGGACAGCCTGTGTCTGCTTATCAAATTTTCTATTAAATGGGCACATTTTTTAACTTGAAAACAAAGGCAAAGAAGGGACAAGCCGTTAATAAAAACCCTGGTATGCAAAGATGTAAAGCTATGCAATGATTGTCTAAATAAATAGCATAGCCAGACGCTCTTTATAAAGGACATTAAACAAATATAACATGGAGGCAGCTTGACAGCATCCATATAGTAGAAAAAGTGTAGTAAAGGTATAGAAGTAGCAGTAGAGTAGCAGTAGAGTAGTAGAGTAGTAGTAGAGTAGTAGGAGAGTAGTAGTAGAGTAGTAGTAGAGTAGTAGTAGAGTAGTAGTAGAGTAGTAGTAGAGTAGTAGTAGAGTAGTAGTTAGAGTAGTAGTAGAGTAGTTAGAGTAGTAGTAGAGTAGTAGTAGTAGTAGAGTAGTAGAGTAGTGAGACTAGATTAGTAGTAGAGTAGT